TGAAGGCCACACTGCAGCAGACGTGTCCCTGAAGGCCACACTGCAGCAGATGTCCCTGAAGGCCACACTGCAGCAGATGTCCCTGAAGGCCACACTGCAGCAGATGTCCCTGAAGGCCACACTGCAGCAGATGTCCCTGAAGGCCACACTGCAGCAGAGGATCTGCTCCACCCAGCAGCTGCTGCAGCAGGTGGAGCAGATCTGTCCAGGGGTCGAAGGTCATCAGAAGCTCTGTGGTAAACTACGAGCTGAGCTGCGTTTCCTGCGGCGGGTGGAGTCTGGACAGCTGCAGGTCAAAGAGTCTCACCTGCACAGCACCAACTTAACCCACCTGAACGCCATCGTGGACTCGGCCCGGAGTCTGGAGCACGTGGTGGCGCTGCTACACGTCTTCACCTACCAGGACGCTGCCGGACAGCGCCGCACGCTGGTGGTGGACGTGGTGGCTAATGGGGGGCTCACCTGGGTGAAAGCAGTAGGCAGGAAGGCGGAGGCACTGCACAACATCTGGCAGGGGCGGGGCCAGTTTGGAGACAAAAGCATCATCAGACAAGCTGAGGAGTTCCTGCAGGCCAGTCACCAACAGCCGGTCCACTACCAGCACCCCCACGTCATCTTCGCCTTCTACAGCGGAGTGTCCTGCCTCATGGCCCAGCAGCTCCGGGACATGGGTGTGCTTGTTCGAGGTGACATCGTCGCAGTCAACACTGGAAGGGCTGAGGAGGAGGAGGAGCAGGAGGAGGAGCAGGAACCAGATGAGGAGGAACATAAGAACGAGGAGGCAGCAGCGCAGGTGACCCAGGTGGACCCTGGCACTGTCCTGGCTCACCTGGAGTTCCCCATGCAGGTGCAGGTGGAGGAGTGTCGGCGGGTGAACCTGGACATCACCACACTCATCACCTACGTGTCCTCACTGAGCCACGGCCGGTGCCACCTCACCTTCCGAGAACCGGTTCTGACGGAGCAGGCGGCTCAGGAGCGGCGCAAGAAAGTTCTACCTGAGCTTGATGGCTTCATGGAGGGGAAGCAGCTGTTCGCCTGCCACGCTGCCGTGCACGACTTCCAGCTGATCCTGGACACACTGGGTGGGCCAGGTGAGAAGGAACGTGCTCACAAGCTGCTGGCCCGCCTCCACCTGGTGGACGACCAGCCCTCAGAGCGCACACTGCGCCTCGCCCCCAGTGCCAAGATTAACCAGCGCTCCGTCCTGATCTTTGGTACCGGAGACTCTCTCAAAGCTGTCACCATGACGGCAAACAGCCGCTTCGTCAGGGCGGCTGCCAATCAGGGTGTTCACCTCACCGTCTTCATCCACCAACCACGAGCCCTGACAGAGGCCAAAGAGTGGAGAGCCACGCCCGTCTCATGATACCACCTGACCAGACCACTCCCCTCTGACCAGACCACTCCCACCTGACCAGACCACTCCCCCATGACCAGACCACTCCCACCTGACCAGACCACTCTCCTCTGACCAGACCACTCCCACCTGACCAGACCACTCCCCCATGACCAGACCACTCCCACATGACCAGACCACTCCCCTCTGACCAGAACACTCCCCTCTGACCAGAACACTCCCCTCTGACCAGACCACTCCCACATGACCAGACCACTCCCCTCTGACCACACCCCTCTGACCAGACCACTCCCCCATGACCAGACCACTCCCACATGACCAGACCACTCTCCTCTGACCAGACCACTCCCACCTGACCAGACCCCTCCCCTCTGACCACTCCCACCTGACCAGACCACTCCCACCTGACCAGACCACTCCCCCATGACCAGACCACTCCCACATGACCAGACCACTCTCCTCTGACCAGACCACTCCCACCTGACCAGACCACTCTCCTCTGACCACACCCCTCTGACCAGACCACTCTCCTCTGACCAGACCACTCCCACATGACCACTCTCCTCTGACCACACCCCTCTGACCAGACCACACCCCTCTGACCAGACCACTCCCACATGACCAGACCACTCCCACCTGACCAGACCACTCCCACATGACCAGACCCCTCCCACCTGACCAGACCCCTCCCACCTGACCAGACCACTCCCACCTGACCAGACCACTCCCAAATGACCAGACCACTCCCCCATGACCAGACCACTCCCCTCTGACCAGACCACTCCCACATGACCAGACCACTCCCACATGACCAGACCACTCCCACATGACCAGACCACTCCCATCTGACCACACCACTCCCACATGACCAGACCACTCCCACATGACCAGACCACTCCCACATGACCAGACCACTCCCCTCTGACCAGACCACTTTCCTCTGACCAGACCACTCCCACATGACCAGACCACTCCCCTCTGACTAGACCACTCCCACATGACCACACCACTCCCACATGACCAGACCACTCCCACATGACCAGACCACTCCCACATGACCAGACCACTCCCACATGACCAGACCACTCCCCTCTGACCAGACC